ATATATATAAACTTTGCTTTAGGTAGAGTCTTACTATGTAGCTCTAACTGATCTGGAATTCACTATATAGACCAGGACAGCCTTAAACTCATACAGCTCTATCTGCCTCCAACTCCTGAGTGCTAGGATTAAAAGTGTGTACCACCATACCTGGATTTTTTTTTACATTTATTTATTAATTTGTTCATTGTGTGTGTGTGTGTGTGTGTGTGTGTGTGTGTGTGTACACGCACATGCATGCACTTATGCCAGCGTGTGTGTGGAGGTCAGAGAACAACTTTTGGGAGTTGGTTCTTTTCCACCTTGTGGTCCCAGGGATTAAACTCAGGTTGTTAGGCCTGATGGCAAGCATCCTTACTCCCTCAGCCATCTTACCGGCTCCGTAAATATAACCATAATGATCCCTTTCCTTTCTTTTCTTTCCTTTCTTTTTTCTTTTCTTTTCTTGTTTTTGTTTTTGTTATCTCAGGATGAAACTAGCTGTGTAGTTGAAGACTTTAAACTTCTCTAAAAAATTTTTTTATGGTGCCTAGAATGGTGGCACACGGTTTAACCCCAGCACTCAGGAGGCAGAGGCAGGTGAATCTCTGTGAGTTCAAGGCCCACCTGGTCTCCATAGCAAATCCAGGCCAGCCCTGGCTACAGGGAGACCCTGTCTCAAAAAAGAAAGAAAAAAAAATTATCTCTGTGGGGGCGGGACACTATGGTGCACTGGGGGAGATCAGAGGATAAATTATTTTTCTTTTCTTTTTTTTTTTTTTTTGGTCTTTTTGAGACAGGGTCTCCCTGTAGCTTCAGCTGGCCTGGAAGTCACTATGTAGACCAGGCTGGCCTTGAACTCAGAGATCTGCTGCCTGCCTCTGCCTCCCAAGTGCTGGGGCAAAGTTCTTTTTTCCAATGTTCAGTTTCCTTTAACGGCCCCCATCTCCCTGAAGGGCAGGTACAGGTAGCTAGGTGACAGCAAGAGATGTTCACTTGAAGAATTTGTCTTGATCGAAGGCTTTGTCAATCCAGGAAGGCCCAGTCCCAGGAGAAGTGCTCTCTGACCCAGATCTGGGTCTCCTTTCTGCCAGGGTCCAGCTTCTGCCACACCTATGACTCGGTGTCCACCTGACAATCTGGACTAGCAGGAAGGTTTCCTGACCTGGGAAGACCCAAACTCCAGAGAGGAAGTTGTTGCTGCAAGAGGGTGACGCTGGCAAAAGTCCAGTCACTGGAACATTCCAGTGATGAGAGTGCAACTCAAAGGTCTGGGGGAGCTCTTCAGCAAAGTGGTATTCAGCTCACTACAGGAACCAGCCATCCTTATCAAAGCACCTCCCCTTAATAAGGCAGTGCCAGAGAGAGGGTGTCTGCACTGCAGTGCTGAGCTTACACAAAGGTGCTCTCGGGCAGTGAGGAAGGTGCCGCTGGCCTTGGGCTCAGGAGCCAGTGCTGCTCACATCCATCCCCCTCTTCCTCAGGACTCTAGCTGCTGCCTTGGAGCCTTTGCTCAGCCTGGGGCTCCAGCTTCTCTCCCTGTGAACCCCTTTCTTCCTGTGGGGTAACATTTTTAGGCTGACACTCTGCAAACTTCTTAGCATCAGACTTGGCCATCTTCTCACACAACTTGATCTCCCCCGAAGACAGCCCTGATTGGGTCTGATCAATGCAGGTGAGGAACCAGGGCTTGGTATTGGGGAAGGACCTGATTACAGAGCCACAACTGGGTGCAGACCCACTCACCTGAAGTCCTCTTCATCAGGTGGGAGGCCATTTTCCTCACCCCCTCCTCCACATTGTTGTGCACGATACCCAAGGCTGGAGCTGTGTCACTGTCAGTGGACCTCACTGCTCCGGCTAGCTGCTGCCTCCAGAGACCTTCCCTGGAGCACTGTGGCTCACGTCACAGGCAATGGCAATGCTCTCAAATGCAGACTCTGTCTCACTCTCAAACACTGGAACCTTGCTGGCAGAAGTTTGTTGAGAAATTTGGAGATTTAGCTGGTTTGGCCAAAGTGGAAGTGGGGTGGTGCAGAGAGCATGTGTACCTGAACTGGCTATACTGAGCAGGGGCTTGAAGAACCTCCAGTTTTCAGGATGTATATACAGGATCCCAGTTGCCATGGTGAGTCCACAGAGAAAGAGGATGGGGTGGTAGGTCAAAGGACAGCTTTGTGAGTCAGTTTTCTTCTTCCACCTTTATGTGGGTTCTGTGACTCAAACTTGGGTTGCCAGGCTTGTGTGGCAAGCATCTTTACCCACTGTGGCATATCTATGGCCCAGACCTTGAACTTCTGATCCCCCTGTCGCTACCTCCAAAGTGCTGGGATTGTACGCATGAGCCACCATGCCACTTACACAGTGCTGAGAATGGAACCCAGGGCTTCACACAGGCTAGGCAAACTCTCCCGATTGAGCTGCCATTCCAGCTATCTCTCTAGCTTTCTGCCCCCTCTTCTCTCTTTCTCTATTTTTTGTCACTAAAGATGGAACCCAGGGTCTCACATGTGCTAGATAAGTTTTCTACCACTGAACAACATCACAAATCCTACCTTTAGATTTTTTTTTTTTTTTGAGACAGGATCTCCCTGTAGCCCCAGCTGTCCTGGAACTTGCTAGGTAGACCAAGCTGGCCTTGAACTCACAGAGATCTGCCTGCCTCTGCTCCCAAGTGCTGGGATTAAAGACATGCGCCATCATGCCCGGCTACGTTTTCTAAAGAACTTGCAACTATCAAAGATGAAAGGTAAGATAAAATTCAAAATGAAACAGTTGCTTAAAAGGGATATGAACTATTAAATAATATGAGCCATTAGCAGTGCACTGAAAATGTTTGTAAACTTCATATTAATACCATGCAGCTGGGTCTGCCCACTGCCATCATCTTTGGCTACCATCTCCATTGACATCGAATCTTCAAAATGGGCTAGTGTCTCATTGGAAGATTTCCATTCTAACATCAACGAACTGAAATTATCAAACTTCCTCCCATGTTGATCAAATGCTGCCAGTTCCAGGACTGTGTCCCTCAGCCTTGATACAGGAATCTGCATTAAAATAAAAGTAATAAAGGACTTTTAAAAAATTCAGGGCCTTGGGGCTGGAGAGATGGCTCAGCAGTTAAGAATACTGGTTGTTCTTGCAGAAGACCTGGGTTCGAATCTTAGCACCCACATGGCAGCTAACAACTGTCTGTAACTCCAGTTCCAGGGGATCTGACGGCCTCTTCTGTCCTCCGAGGGCATTGCATGACACGGGTGCACTTACCTACATGCAGGCAATATACTCATACACATAAAATAAAAAATAATAAATAAAATATTAAAATAAAATTCAGGGCCAATGGGGTGGCTCAATGGGTTAAGGTGCTTGAGTTTCATTCCTGGAACCTACATAGAGGTAGAAGGAGAGAAATGACTCCACAAAGTTCTCCTCTGACCTCCACATGTCTACCACAGCATGTGTCCACACATACACACCCATCCACTCACCCTGACATGAATAAAAAAATAGAAGTTAATAAATCAAAACAAAATAGAGAATACTAAAACTTAAAAGGGTGTAGTGCAAATAATGCTTAAAGAGAAATTTCTATTTTAACTATAGTAAATGGAAGGGAGGGCTGGGGGTATGTAGCTCAGTTGGTGTTTGCCTAACATTCACAAAGCCCTGGGCTTGATCTCCAGTACTTCATAAACCAGGCATGGTGATGAATGCTTGCTTGGGAGGTGGAAATTCAAGGTCATCCTCGGCTATTTAGTGAGTCTGAGGCCAGCCTGGGCTACATGACACAGTCAGAGAGAGAGAGAGAGAGAGAGAGAGAGGAGAGAGAGAGAGAATGAATGTTGATACACACTTGTAATCCCAGCACTTGGAAGACTAAAACAGGAGGATTGACAGTTTGAGGCCATCCTGGCTCACCTAGTGGGGACTGCATGGATGTGTTACCATGGCAACTTTATCACCTTTTTTTTTTGTCTTTTTGAGACAGGGTCTCCTTGTAGCCCCAGCTGTCCTGGAACTCACTATGTAGACCAGGCTGGGCTCAAACTCACAAAGATCCGCCTGCCTCTGCCTCCCAAGTGCTGGGATTAAAGGTGTGTGTCACCACACCCAGTTTGTTGTTGTTTTTTGGTCTTTTTGAGACAGGGTCTCCCTGTAGCCCTAGCTGGCCTGGAACTCGCTATGTAGACCAGGTTGGTCTTGAACTCACTGAGATCTGCCTGCCTCTGTCTCCCGAGTGCTGGGATTTAAAGGCATGTGCCACCATGGCCAGCTATCACTATTCTTCATGGTAGATTTGGAGAAGAGGTCATTTTTATTACTTATTAATAATGTTAATACAAGATTTGATAGAAGATGTTGATAAAACAACTTGGAAGCTATTTAGAGAGAGGTCTCAATAGTCTGTGGCTACAATCACAAGCTGTGTACAGTGAACAAGTTGTGGTGGTTTGAATAAGAATGTCCTTCATAGGCTCCAAGTATTTGGACATTTTGTCCCCAGTTGGTGGCGCTGTTTTGGAGGTTTTAAGAAGTTTTGGCCATGCTGGAGGAAACACATCACTGGTGGTGGGCTTAGAGTTCTTAAGCCTTGCCAGTTTCCAGTCTCTCTGCTTCCTGTGCCCGCTTCAAGATGTGATCCCTTGGCTTTCTGCTCTAGCGACCTCTGCTGCCTTGCCTCCCACACTATCATGGACTCTAACCCCTCTGAAATCATCAGCCAAATAAACTCTTCCTTCTGTAAATCGCCTTGGTCACAGTATATTATCAGAGCAACAAAAAAGCTACCAATACAGAAGTTGGTACCCTTTGGAAGTAAAGCCCCAATACACAAGTCACGTCACTACGGGTCCACAGTTCTAATGTACTTTACTCTTCTCATACGTTATCAGAGAACCACTAACAAAGAAAGCAATACCTCTAACTTTAATCAGACAAAAGTTATATTTCAGTATCTTTATTTCTTTTTTTAATTTAAAAATAGCTCATACATATTTTTTACATGTATGAGTATATTGCCTGCATGTGTGTTAAGTGCATCCGTGTCATGCAGTGCCTGTGGACACTGGAAGAGGGTGTTGGATCCTCTGGAACTGGAGTTAACGGACAGTTGTTAGCCACCATGCGGGTGCTGGGAATTGAACCCAGGTCCTCTGCAAGAGCAGCCAGTGCTCTTAACCACTAAGCAATCTCTCTACCCCCAGGTTCTTTATTTCTAAAGCATATAAGACGTAAGTGTTGGGGACATGGTCTGTACTTACCAGCTGCTTATTGTACTGTTGCAGAGGACATGGCTGGGTGCCAGCTGGCTCCTTGTATACTGGTGTTACCAACATACTGGCAGGGTGGGCACATATGTAGCGCACCTGCACAATTTCCACAGCTGGACTAGGGTTCAGGACACCTGGATGATTCCCAATCCGCAAGGTAAGAATCTTTAAGGAAATACCAGCAAGAGTTATTTGTGGGTAGACACTTGATGTCAGCTGCACCAAACTACATGTGTCAGAATTATCAAGCTGCATTACAGAGGAGCCTTTCTGGATATGACAGTCAGACACATCACTTAAAGGCATGTGACCTCCGCTCCACAGTAAATAAATAACTCTAACTTTTAAAAGGTAGAGGCAATCAAAGAGGACACCTGAAGTTGGCCTCTGATCTCCAAGTGCAAACATGTACACAAGAACCTGAATGCACACCCATACAATCAAGTACATACACCATATACATGCAAGGGTGTGTATGCACACACATACACACACATGCACATAGTAAAAATAAAATAATAGATAACAGGGTATCATGGAAATTTGGCTGGGTATGGTGGTTCACGCTTGTAATCCCAGCACTCAAGAAGCAGAGGCAGGGGGAATCACTGAAAGTTCAAGGTCAGCGTGGTCCCAATATCTAGTTCCATGCCAGTCATATATATGGTGAGATCTTGCGTCAGGACACCAAGAAAAGGTATGAGGGTGATGATCTGGCTTCCACATCTGTCATCCCATGGATTGCCAGGTTTGATCTGGCTGATCAGTCAAGAGTACAGAAATAGCTACACTTCTGTACTACAACCTCCAAGCAAAACATCAAAAAAATTATAGAAGGAAAGAAAAATTAGGCCAGCAAGATGGCTCAGACAGTAAAGGTGTTCCCTGACAACCTGAGTTCAAATCTCAGGATCTACAAAGTAGAAAGAGATTTGACTCCTGCAAGTTGTCCTCTGTCCTCCACATGCATGCCATAGCACACATGCACCCACATACATATACATGTGCATATGTATACACAGAGATTTTTACAAGTTTATGTATATCAGCGCTTTGTCTGCATGAATATAAGCGCACCGTGTTGTGTGTCTGCTGCCTGGGGAGGCTAGAAAAGGGCATTGGACCCCTTGGAACTGGAGTTAAGGATAGGTGTTAGCCGCTGTGTGAGTGCTGGGAACCAAATTCAGGTCCCCAGGTGCTCTTAACCACTGAACGGTCTCTCCAGCCCCACGAAATTTCTATTTTTAAAAAAGGAAATCTAAACTTAACCAATTGGTTTAGACTTTTCTTCCAACAAACCTTTTGCTATCTGTCAGTGGGACACGGGGCTGCGGAGATGGCTCCATGGGTAGCAGTGCTTGGTCTGCAAGCCCGAGGACCTGAGTTTGAATCATTAGCACCTATGGAAAAGGTTGTGAGTGCCTATCACACCAGCGTTAGAGGGGTCAGTCAGCGTAGTCCAGATTGTGAACTTCCTGTTTTGTGAGAGACCCCGACTCAAGTTAATAAAGCAAGAACAAGAGAAGACAATAATGTCCTGCTCTGGCCTCCACACCTGCATGCTCACAGACACCTCCATGTTCAGATCCATGCAACACGCACGCACGCACACACACACACACACACACACACACACACACACGAAAATAAAAATAGAATAAATAAAATTTTAAATGATTTCTTTTTGAGACAGGATTTCCCTGCAGCCTCCCGAGTGCTGGGATCAAAGGTGTGCACAACCACGCCTGGCTAATTTCTAGTCTTAAATGCAGTAAAATTCACTACAGGTATTAGAAAGATGTCTAACTGATCAACTGATCGAGACTGAGTTCGTACTAGGTTGATATCTTACATTACTTCCCTGTGGGGGACTGGAGAGATGGCTCAGTGCTGTGCAAGCTTGAGAATGTGAGTTTGGATCCCATCACCCAAGTAAAAACTGTGGTTGAATGCGCGTGCCTGTAACCCCAGGGCTGTGGGGAGGGGGAGCAAAGACAGGTGGATCTATGGGCCTTGCTGGTCACCAGCAAGCTCCAGGTTCAGTAAGAAATGCTGTTGCAAAAGAAAAAGGCAGAACCAGGCATGGTGGCATGTACCTTTAATCCTAGCACTCCAGAGGCAGAGGCAGGGGGAGCTCTGTGAGACAAGCCTGGTCTACATAGAGTTCCAGGCCAGCTGGGGCTACAGGGAGATCCTGCCTCAAAAAAAAAAAAAAGGTGAGGGGAGTGACAGAGCAGGTTCCCGAGGTCCTCCTCTGGCTTCCTCACTTTTGAGTACGTACACAAACACACACACACACACACACACACACACACACACACACACACACATTCATATACCACATGCACACACAAAATCAAGATAATAACTCCCTGTGGGATGGCTAGCCTGGTTCAGTCGCACACCAAATCTTCAATGCCAGTTAAACTACAAACCTGTTGATAATGCAGGTCAAAGCTGTAAATGAGAACTATGAAAACCGATCACTACCTAAAAAGAAACAATGTGGCACTTTGAAGTTACTCTTTCTTGAATTCTTTGAAGTATAAATAAAAAATCTTCTAGTTGGGACTGGAGAGATGGCTCAGTGGTTAAGAGCACTGGCTGTTCTTGCAGAGGACCCGGGTTCAGGTCCCAGTGCCCACATGGTAGCTAACAACTGTCTGTAACTCCAGGAACAGGGAATCCAATGCCCTCTTCCGAACTTCTCAGGCACCAGGCACACACATGGTACACTTACATGCAGGCAAAACCCTTGTACATATAAAATAAAAATAAAATCTTTGGGGCTGGAGAGATGGCTCCACGGTTAAAAACATTGACTCCTCTTGCAGAGGACCCAGGTTCAATTCCCAGCACCCACATGGTGGCTAACAACCATCCATAAGTCCAGTTCCAGGAGAATCCAGTGCACTGCATGACACGAGTAAACCTACACACATGCAGGCAATACACACATACACCTAAAATAAAAAATATTAAAAAAATAAAATAAAATCTTAAAAGAAATTTGTCTGTATAGTGTGCATGTGTGTGGGTATATGGAACTCTAATTCCAGAGGATCCAATGTCCTCTTCTGGCCTCTGTGGGCATTTCATAACAGGTGCACTTATACACATGCAGACAAAATACGCATACACTTAAAAACAAAAATAAGTAAATTTTTTTTGGTCTTTTTGAGACAGGGTCTCCCTGTAGCCCCAGCTGTCCTGGAACTCACTATGTAGACCAGGCTGGCCTTGAACTCACAGATCTCTGCCTGCCTCTGCCTCCCGAGTGCTGGGGTTAAAGGTGTGTGCCACCATACCCAGTTTATAAGCAAATTTTTTCTAATGATCTTTAATTGTTTAGTAAACTATCAGAATTCTCCAGTAAGCAAACAGAAACCAGTGGATACAGTTAAAGGAAAGTACAGTTAAAAAAACATCCTGTTGGGCTTGGTGGCACACGCCTTTGGTCCCAGCCCTCGGGAGGCAGAGACAGGTGGATCTCTGTGAGTTTGAGGCAAACTAGGGCAACAGGGAGACCCTGTCTCAAAAAGACCAAAATAAATAAATAAATAAATAAATAAATAAATAAATAAATAAATAAATTAGTTAGCTAGTTAGTTAGTTAACTAAATAAAATAAGCTGGGTGCAAGCCTGTAGTCCCAGCACTGGGGACTACGGAGGCAGGCAGATCTCTGTGAGTTCGAGGCCAGCCTGGTCTTCATAGTGAGTTCCAGGCCAGCAGGGGCTACAGGGAGACCCTGTCTCAAAAAGGCAAAATAAATAAATAAAATAAAAAATAAAAAAAGATCTTTAATAATTACAATTTTTCTCTATAAACTAAATCCACTGGACTCTGAAAAGGAATGGCTAGACCTACAAGAGTATTGGATTAAAAATAGTTACAATGCTGGGCACGGTGGTGCACACCTTTAGTCCCAGCACTAGGGCAGGCAGAGGCAGGCAGATCTCTGTGAGTTCAAGGCCAGCCTGGTCTACATAGTGAGTTCTAGGTCAGCTTGGGTTATAGGGAGACCCTGTCTCAAAAAGACCAAAAATAAATAAGTAAATAAAAGTAAAATGTTACTTAATACTAATGTCAGAAAAAGACTTTTTCTTACTTGTTCCCCTAAGTTCAGGCATAGGACGCGGTAGATGTACTGGTTCTGTTTTCTCTTAGCAGGTAATTGAACTTCTGTTATTCTAATGTCCTCTGTCTTCTCTATGCTCAGCTCCAAAAAAAATTGGGATGGCTCCAAGATCCATGGATGAGGGCCCCCTTCAAATACCATTTCCTTTACAGACTGCCATGTCACCAAAGCCACTTCCACTGGGTTTAGAGCCTAAAACATATCAATCCGTATTTGATTATGAAATTATTTTATTATTTAGACAAAGCCTCCCCCCCACCTCTGTCTCATGTAGCCCAGGCTGGCCTCACATTAGCTTTGTGGCCGAGAATGGCCTTAAACTTCAGACCCTCCTGCCTCCACCTCCCTCCTGTTGGGATTATGGGGGTGCTGGCACCAAGTCTGCTTTTATGTGGTGCTGGGGATCAAAGCCGGAAGGCATGTTCGATAAGTGTTCTACCAACTTAGCCACATCCCCAATCTTATATTCTCTTAAATAATGTATGAACAATGTAAAAAGGGATTTACTTATGTTCCACAAAGGATATAGGTGTAGAAACCCAGATAGGATCTGCCTCATGATAGGGAAAGATTGAAAGTCTCGAATAGTCTGAGAAAGGCAGATTTGGGGTGGAAAAAGAATACACCGAGTGTTACAGAGGGGCGCAACGGAGAATGGTTTACAAGTCCTTTACAGAAGAAATGAACAGAAGGAAAGAACTTACACAGAAGCTTCATGGACCTGTTCCCTAAAAAATGCAAATCAAGGGCAGACAAGATGGCTCAGCAGGTAAAGCACTTGCTGACAAGCCTAAAGACCCGAGTTTGACCCCGGGAAACCACACAAAAGTGGAAGAAGCCACAGCATGCACACCTACACACATCATGTATAAACAAATACAATACACAATAAACACAATAAACACACAATAAACAAAAATTAATTTTAGGAGGGTATAGCAGTACACACCTTTAATCCCAGCACTCGAGAGGCAGAGGCAGGTGGATCTCTGTGAATTCAAGGCCAGCCTGGTCTGCAAAGCCAGTTCTAGGCCAGCTGGGGTTATAGAGAGACCCTGTCTCAAAAACAAACAAAAATAAACAATTTCTTTTTTTGGAGCCGAGGCCCAAACCCAGGGCCTTGCGCTTGCTAGGCAAGCACTCTACCACTGAGCTAAATCCTCATAAATTTAAATAAAAGAGAAAATCAAAAATTATTTCCTTAGGTTAATAGCCTGCAATTAATCAAAATAATTGAATTAACTTATATAAAAGGGCAATTGTGGGGCTGGAGAGATGGCTCAACAGTTAAGAGCACTGGCTGTTCTTGCAGACATTCAATTCCCAGCACCCACATGGTGGCTAACAACCATCTCTAACTTCAGTTCCAGTCGATCAGACACCCTCTTCTGACTGCTGTGGGCATTGCACTGCATGGGTTCACTTACACACATGCAGGCAATACATTCATACATATAAAGTACACACTCATACACATAAAGTGAAAATAAGTAAATAAAATAAAAGGACAATTGTGGGAGCTAGACAAGATGGCTCGGTGACTAAGAGTGCTTGCAGTGCACGTGAGGACTTGGGTTCAGAGCCCAGTACCCATGTATTAGAGATCTCCCTGCCTCTGCCAGCGAGGCCTGGGATCAAAGGTGTGCACCACCAAGCCCAGCCAATTCTTTTTTTATTTTTTATTTTTTTTGGCTTTTTGAGACAGGGTCTTCCTGTAGCCCCAGCTGTCCTGGAGCTCACTATGTAGGCCAGGCTGGCCTCAAACTCACAGAGATCTGCCTGCCTCTGCCTCCCCAGTGCTGGGATTAAAGGCATGAGCCACCACGCCCAGCAGCCAATTCTTTTTTTAAAGAACATAAACATTCTGTTGTTTCATGAGACAGATCCACAGGAGAGCTGTAGTGCCCAAGGTCAGCCCAACTTCCAGCAAGTCAGGCTTGGCATTGGGCGGCTCCTGTGGCAACGTGTAGAGTCTGGGGAGCCAGGCAGGGGCCAGCAGTCTGCAGAAGGCACCAACCTGCCCAGCCATTACTTCTTTTTTTAAAAAAAATATTTTATTTATTATTATTTTTATGTGTATGCATGTATTGCCTGCATGTACTTAAGTGCACCGTGTGCAAGCAATGCCTTGTAGAGGCCAGAAGAGGCTGTCAGAGCCCTGGAACTGGAGTTATGGACAGTTAGCTGCCATGTGGGTGCTGGGATTCAAACGCAGCTCTTCTGCAAGAATAACCAGTGTTCTTAACCACTGAGCCATCTCTCTGGCCCTAACTTTTTTTTTTTAAAGAAATTTATTATTTTGTGGGTGCATGGTATGTGTGTTGTACATACCATGGCACACATGTAGAGGTCAAAGGACAACTTTGTGCAATTGATTCTCTCTTTTCATGTTTATGTGGGTTCTGGGGATGGAGTGCAGGTCATCAGGTTTGCATGGCAAGTGCCTTTGCCCAGGCAACCACCTCACCAGCCCAAAATAAATTCTTTTTTTTTTTTGGACAGGGCTTCCCTGTAGCCCCAGCTGGCCTAGAACTCTCTATGTAGCCCAGGCTAGTCTCAAACTCACAGAGATCTGCCCACCTCTGCCTCCCAAGTGCTAGGACTAAAGGTGCGCACCACCATGCCTGACCAAAATAAATAAATTATTTTTTTTAAAAAAAATATTTTATTTAGCAGGAAGACCCTGTCTCAAAAAAAAAATTTTAAAGGTCAGTTTTAGTTTTAACATTGTGAAGATATTAAAAGAATCTCATAACTTTCACTCCTTTTTCTCCTGCTGAAAAAAATTAAGCCAAATATACAAAAAAAATTATTATTTTTATTTTATGTGTATGTGTGTATGTAGGTGTATGTTTTATTTATGTGTATGTGTATTGCCTGCATGTAGGTAAGTGCACTTGTGTGGTGCAATGCCCATGGAAGACAGAAGAGGCTGTCGGATCCCCTGGAACTGGAATTACAGGCAGTTGTTAGCTGCCATGTGGGTGTGAGATTCGAAGCCAGGTCTTCTGCAAGAACCACCAGTGTTCTTAACCACTGAGCCATATCTCCAGACCCCCAAATAAATAAATTCCTAAAAAGCAAGTTAGAATGAGTAACTCCTCACTGCCCGGTACTGGGGATGGAACCCAGAATCTTGTGTCCTTGTGGGCGCTTAGGTGAGCACTCTACCACTGACCAGCACCTCCAGCCCCAGGATACAGGTAAAGCAAAAGATGTAGGACTAAAACACTGGTCAAAAAAAGCAAATCTTTGCCAGGTGTGGTGGCACACACCTTTAATCCCAGCACTCGGGAGGCAGAGGCAGGTGGATGGATCTCTGTGAGTTCAAGGCCAGCCTGGTCTATATAGTGAGTTCTAGGACAGTTGGGGCTACAGGGAGACCCTATCTCAAAAAGACCAAAAAAAAAAAAGCAAATCATTGTTTTCCTTTTCTTAATTTTTACTTGTTTGTTTGTTTGTAAGCAGGATCTCACTATGTAGGTCTGGCTGGTCTTGATCTCACAGAGATCCATGACTTCCCTCTGCCTCCTGAGTGCTGGAATTAAAGAACTTCTGGTTCTTTTTTCATTTTAATTAATTAATTAATTAATTAATTTGGTCTTTTTGAGACAGGGTCTCCCTGTAGCCCCAGCTGACCTGGAACTCACTATGTAGACCAGGCTGGCCTTTAACTCACAAAGAGCCACCTGCCTCTGCCTCCCAAGTGCTGGGATTAAAGGCGTGTGCCACCATACCTGGCTTCTTTTTTCTTTTAAACAGGGTCTCCCTGTAGCCCCAGCTCAGAGGTTAAGAGCACTGTTTGTTCTTCCAGAGGACTCAGGTTTGAATCCCAGTACCCACATAGTGGCTAACAACTGTGCATAAGTCCAGTTCCCGGGGATCTCATGCCCTCTTCTGGTCATTTCCTGTCATGGGTGCACTTATACACATGCAGGCAACACACTCACATACATAAGAAAATAATAAAATAAGGGGGGCATGGTGGTGCACGCCTTTAATCCCAGCACTCGGGAGGCAGAGGCAGGCGGATCTCTGAGTTCAAGGCCAGCCTGGTCTACATAGTGAGTTCCAGGACAGCTGGGGCTACAGGGAGACCGTGTCTCAAAAAAGACAAAAAAAAAAAAGTTTGGCAGGGCATGGTGGTGCATGCCTTTGGTCCCAGCACTTGGGAGGCAGAGGCAGGCGGATCTTTGTGAGTTCATAGGCCAGCCTGGTCTACATAGTAAGTTCAGGTCAGCTGGGACTACAGGGAAACCCTGTCTCAAAAAGACAAAAAAAAAAGTTTTTAAAAAATCTTTTAAAAAAGAAAGAAAAGGAAAGGAAAATGGTATCTGGAGTTATAACCACTAAGCAGTGGTTAAAATGGCATACTGCTCTTGCATAGGACTTGAGTTTGGTTCCTAGAAGCCATGTCAGGTAGCTCACAACCACCGATATAACTCCAGATTCAAGGGATCTGATGCCTTCTTCTGGTCTCCAGGGGCACATACCCTTATAGAGACATACACACAAGTATACACTAAAACTAAAATAAATCCTTAGAAATAAAAAGGAGTGCTGGGTGTGGTGGTGCACACCTTTAATCCCCAAGCTTGGGAGGCAGAGACAGGTGGATCTCAGTGAGTTCAAGACCAGCATGGTCTACATAGGGAGTGTCAGACCAGCTAGGACTACAGGGAGACCCTGACTCAAACAAAAAACAAAAAACAAAAAAAATGATATGCTGCACAATAAAGTCAACTTAAAATGCAAATTAGAGGCCTGCAAGATGGCTGGGCCAGTAAAGGAATTTCAGCACAAGCCTGGCGACCTGAGTTCGATCCTCTGAACCCATGTAAAGGTGGAAGGAGAGAACCAACTCCACAGAGTTGTCCTCTGACCTCTACATGCATGCTATTAGCACACATGGTCACACATACACAATTAACAAATACATTAAAAATAGAAATTAGGACTAGTAGTGTAACTCAGTAGCATAAGACCTCCATATAGGGGAGAACAACACAACAAATTAGAACAAGCAAGTTATCTTTGTTTTTTCCTAACCTCTAATATAGATATTTTTGCTTTGCTTTATCTTAGTGTGTGTGTGTGTGTGTGTGTGCACATGCCTGTGTGTGTTTGTATGTGTGTTCATGCTGTGGTACAAGTGTCGAAGTCAGAAGACAAACACAGGTGTGCACTGTGTTTGAGATGGGGGTCTCTTTGTTTTTCACAGTCAGTGCATGTGCCTGGCTAGCTGCAAGCTTCTGGGACTGTCTGTCTCCACTTCCTGTCTTGCTTTAGGAGCACTGGGATTGCAGAAGCACACTGCCACACCCCGCTTTATGTGGGCTCTGGGAATTTATTTACTTATTTAGTTTGTTAGTTAGCTACTTTTATTTTATATGTATGAGTGTTTTTGCCTGTACGTATGTAAGTGTACCTGTGTCGTGCAATGCCCATGGAAGCCAGAAGAATGCTCTTAACCTCTGATCCATCTCTCCAGCCCTGGGTTTTGGAAATTTAAACTCAGGTCCTTATGCTGCATGGCAAGTGCTTTACCCACTGAGCCATCTCTCCAGTCCTTGTTTTTGTCTTCTGAGTGTCTCATGCAGTCCAGGCTGGCTTCAAACTTGCTATATAGCTGAGGATGACATTGAACTTCTGATCCTCCTGTCTCTACCCTCAGAGTGCCAGCATTACAGGTGTGTGGCACTATACCTGGTTTTATATGGTGCTGGGATTGAATGCTGGACTTTGTGCATGCTAAACAGGCATCGTACCACACAGGTACACTTACATACATTCAGGCAATACATTCATACACATAAAATAAAAATAATAAAATATTTTAAAAAGCTTGCTAATATAAGATAAAGATATTCCTGAATGTGGGTGGAGATGTGGCTCAGTTGGTAGAAAGCTTGCTTAGCAAGCACCAGGCCCCCTGTGTTCTATCCCAGCACTGCCTAAACTGGGGGTGGTTGTTAAAAACAAAACAAAAACCTCCTGTAAACCTAGCCTTTGTGAGGTGGAGGCAGATCATCTTTGGATACATAACTAGTTCAAGGCCAGCCTGGGATACATGAGACCTAGTTTTTTTGTGTGTGTGTGTGTGTGTGTTTTTTTTTTTTTTTTTGGTTTTTTTGAGACGGGGTCTCCCTGTAGCCCTAGCTGTCTTGGAACTCACTATGTAACCAGGCTGGCCTTGAACTCACAGAGATCAGCCTGCCTCTGTCTGCAAGTGCTGGGATTAAAGGCATGTGCCACCACTCCCAGTTGAACTCAATCTTAAAAAAAGAGGGAGATGGGACTGGAGAGATGGCTCACCAGTTAAGAACACTGGCTGTTCTTACAGAAGACCTGGGTTTGAATCCCAGCACCCACATGGCAGCTAACAACTGTCCATAACTCCAGTTCCAGAGGATCCAATGGCCTCTTCTGTCCTCTGTGGGCACTGCACAACATGGGTGCACTTATATACATGCAGGCAATACATGCATGCACATAAAAAAACAAAAATAATAAAAAATATTTAAAAAAGAGGGAGAGAGATTGAGGAAGTGAGATAAATTCCCTGATATTAGGGCATGGTGAGAGAGTTTAGATCTACAACCAAGACAATGGTAAATACAGAGATCACAGTCCTGACAGTGATCCTTAGTAGAGAGCATGGGCAGTGGGGACCAGGTGCTTGACCACGCCTACTATGGGACGGCTCACCTTTAGTGGTTTATAAGCAGCGAAAGTGCCACTGCTTCCCACCTGGTCTTCAGATCCAGTCACACTGACTGTCACCACAGCATGGCCAGGAGCTGCGGCTGCTATGTGTACACTGGAACAGTGCATTGGTCCAGGTCTCTGAATACCTTTCAATCAAAAAACATGATTTCAATCAAGCATGGCAGCACAGGTCTAGACTCTCAGCACTTAGGAGGTAGAGATAGGAGATAGGAGTTTGAAGCAAGCCTGGGCCTGGATTACATGAAACCCTGTATCAAAAACAAACAACACCCCTCAAGCCCCACCATGATTTCAGGAAATGAGAAATAGAAATATTCTACAGAAATAGAATAACTTTAGCACATTAAAAATGTAATATGTGGGCTGGAGAGATGGCTCAGTGGTTAAGAACACTGACTGCTCTTGCAGAGGACACGGGTTCGATTCCCAGCATCTACATGGTGACTACGAACTGTCCTTAACTCCAGTTCCAGGGGAATCCGAAGCCCTCTTCTGACCTCCGTGGCATTGCACGACATGGGTGCACTGACATACATGCAGGCAATACACTCATGCACATAAAATAAAAAATAATAAAATACATTTAAAAAAAATATATGTATATATAATATGCTAGGTATGGTGATGCGTGCCTTTAATCACAGCATTTGGGAGACAGAGGCAAGTAGATCTCTATGAGAGTGAGGCCAGCATGGTCGACATTGCAAGTTCCAGGCCAGCTGGGGCTACAGAGAGGCCCTTTCTCAAAACCCCAAAAAATAAAATAAAGTAACTTTGACTGGGTATGGTGGCATGTGCCTGTTACCTTACACCTGGGGAGGCTGGGGAAGGAGGATTCTTGCAAATTGCAGTCCAGTTTGGTATACAAAGTGACACCTTGTCTCCAACAAAACACAACAAAACACAGCACCTTGATATAACCACTAAGTTCCAATTGTTTGATATCAAGTCGGTACTACTTCTTTGCTTATCTCAGTGTTGGACAAGTCTAGCATGCACAAGTCTGGATTCAATTGCAAGCATGGCAAAAAACAAACACAAAGGCCCAGACATCAAGGCATTGCTTTCAAAATTTTTGATATGTAAAGCACACACACCCACATTCATTC